CAATAGATGCAGATCTTGCAGAAATGGCTAATTCCAGGACTGGGCAATAAATGTGTAAGATAAGCCTAGAGCATCTTATAGTGCTACAGAGAATAAAGTACTAAAGTAATCACTACACATTGATGGAGATACATCAAAGGGACATAGGAACCAACCAAAAGAGCTCCGAATGGTCAAAGCTGGAATAATTTAAGCAAGACAAATAGCATAACATTGGATTATAATCCAAAGTATAAAATAAACATCTATGAATCTATACTGATATAGATAATTGAATGAATAAATATATTGGGGAGAATAGACAAATTTCTTGTGCAGAAGAATTCCATATATTATTATTATTATTATTATTTTTTATTTTTTTTTTTTTGAGACAGAGTCTCACTTGTTGCCCAGGCTAGAGTGAGTGCCGTGGCATCAGCCTAGCTCACAGCAACCTCAAACTCCTGGGCTCAAGCGATCCTGCTGCCTCAGCCTCCCGAGTAGCTGGGACTACAGGCATGCGCCACCATGCCTGGCTAATTTTTTCTATATATATTAGTTGGCCAATTAATTTCTTTCTATTTATAGTAGAGACGAGGTCTCGCTCTTGCTCAGGCTGGTTTCAAACTCCTGACCTCGAGCAATCCGCCCGTCCCAGCCTCCCAGAGAGCTATGATTACAGGCATGAGCCACTGCGCCCGGCCTATTATTATTATTTTTTGAGACAGAGTCTCGCTTGTTGCCCATGCTAGAGTGAGTGCCATGACGTCAGCCTAGCTCACAGCAACCTCAAACTCCTGAGCTCAAGCAATCCTACTGCCTCAGCCTCCCGAGTAGCTGGAACTACATGCATGTGCCACCATGCCCAGCTAATTTTTTCTCTATATATTAGTTGGCCAATTAATATCCTTCTATTTATAGTAGAGATGGGTCTTGCTCTTGCTCAGGCTGGTTTTGAACTCCTGACCTCGAGCAATCTGCCCACCTCAGCCTCCCAGAGTGCTAGGATTATAGACGTGAGCCACCGCGCCCGGCCTATATATTATTAATAATACTTTTTGTAGATACTTTTTCATTTTTTTAATTTCAACATATTACAGGGGTACAAATGTTTAGGTTATGTATATTGCCTTTGCCCCATCAGAGTCAGAGCTTCAAGTGTGTCCATCCACCAGACAGTGAGCACTGCACCCATTAGGTGTGTATATACCCATTCTCTCCCGTGCATCTGCCTGACACCTGATGAATGTTATTACTATATGTACACTTAAGTGGTGATCAGTTAATACTAATTTGATGGTGAGTAAATGTGGTACTTTTTTTTCCATTCTTGTGATACTACACTTAGTAGAATGGGTTCCAGCTCTATCTAGGATAATATAAGAAGTGCTATATCACCATTGTTTTTTGTGGTTCATTAGAACTCCATGGTATACATATATCACATTTTATTAATCCACTCATGTATTGATGGGCACTTGGGTTGTTTCTACATCTTTGTAATTGTTAAATGTGCTGCTATAAACATTCGAGTGCAGATGTCTTTTTTATAAAATGTCTTTTGTTCTTTGGGATAGATGCCTAGTACTGGGATTGATGGATCAAATGGTAGTTCTACCTGTAGCTCTTTGAGGTATCTCCACATAACTTTCCACTTTTCTTTAAGGAGGTGGAGCATAATTCCTTACTCCTCAAGTGTGTGCTATGCATAGCGACTTTCTTTCAAACAATATGGTATGAAAATGATGAATGAGAGGGAAGAGTAACTTTACAGTGGGGAAACCTAACAGCACTATCTCAGCATGGTAATCAAGATTAACATCAATAACCTTGATAGGATGTGATAAGAATTATGTCTTACCTCTATGATATTCCTCACCAAAGCCCTTAAGCTCAGTATAATCATGAGAAAAATCATCAGACAATCTCACTTGAGAGGCACTCTACAAAATGCTTGACTAGTTTTTCTCAAAATATAAAGGTCATCAGAAAGAAAAGCTTGAGATAGTGTAACAGCCAAGAAAAAACCTAAGTAGATAAGACAACTACATGTAATATAACATCCTATGTGGGATACTGAAACAGCAATAGAACATTAAGAAAAAAGCTATGGAAATGTGAATAAACTAGACTTTAGTTAATTATAATGTGTCAATATTGGTGCATTGAGTGTGACAAATGTGCCATATGAAGATGTTAACAATAAGGGAAACTAGGTGTCGGGTGTGGGGGATTTGGGAACTCTGTGCCAGCTTTACATTTTTTAAAATAAATCTTAAGCCTTCTAAAATAAGTTCATTTTAAGAAGGATTAAAAATCATTCAATGTAATTCATCATAGTAACACAAGAGAGGAGAAAAATTATAGTATCATCTCAAAAGAGAAAGAAAAAACATTTGATAAAATATTTTTTAAAAAACTATTTCTTTTTTTTTTTTTTTTTTTTGAGACAGAGTCTCGCTTGTTGCCCAGGCTAGAGTGAGTGCCGTGGCGTCAGCCTAGCTCACAGCAACCTCAAACTCCTGGGCTCAAGCAATCCTGCTGCCTCAGCCTCCCGAGTAGCTGGGACTACAGGCATGCGCCACCATGCTCGGCTAATTTTATATATATATATTAGTTGGCCAATTAATTTCTTTCTATTTATAGTAGAGATGGGGTCTCGCTCTTGCTCAGGCAGGTTTCGAACTCCTGACCTCGAGCAATCTGCCTGCCTCAGTCTCCCAGAGTGCTAGGATTACAGGCGTGAGCCACCGCGCCTGGCTTTAAAAAACTATTTCTAATAATTCTCTCTATTAGAGCTAGGAATTGGGACCAAGGAATTGAATAAAATTATTTAATGAGAATAGATGATATTTATAAAAAGACATCAATTGTGAAATTATTGATAATGGAGTATTAAAAGCTTTCCTAAGACTGGGAATAGAACTGTGATTTTTCTCTCATCATTTCCATTCAACACTATACTGGATGTCCTAAGTAGGGCTGTAAGGCATGAAATAAGGATTGGAAATGGAAAGTATAGATTTCATTATTTACAGACAACAAAATCTCAACATTAGCAATTAAAATTAGGAAGTTAACTGAGTAAAGTTGCTGGGTTAAAAAGCAAATAAGTACAATTAAATGTACTTCCACATGAAATGAATTAAAAAATGAAGTTTTATAAAGAAAAATTTTGCAGAATATCAGAAACATCAATTACATAGGAAAAAATCTATACAAAATATTACAAAACAGTATGGAAAGGAAATAACTAATACCTTACAAATGGGGGGATATATTTAGATTGGCAGATATTCAGTTACATATACTGTAGATGTTAATTGTCTCCCAGATTCATTTAACAATCCAAAGTGATAGCATTCCAAATGTGAATCTCATTAGATTTGGGTTCTATTTGTCAATATTATTTCAAATATTATATATGATACAGAGTCAAGAGGCGCCAAGATAGTCTTTGATGAAGATGAACCAGTTTGCATGAGTTACACAATCAAATTTTAAGGCCCATTGTAAGGTTACAATTACTGACAAAAGACTGAAAACTAGCCCAATGGAACAAAATATAGACTCCATAAATAGATCAACAGCTATATGATTATCGATTTATGATTAAAAAAAATACCACTGCTGGATGGTGAGAAAAGAATGGTTTGTTCAATAGTTGATGCCAAATCTATTGGATATCAATATGGAAAAAAAATTGAGTTCTTTTTTAAATCATACAAAGAAATCATTTTAGGTGTAAAGTTGATCTATACATGAAAGATAAAACAATAAAGCTTCTTGAACATAACATAGGAGAGTGTCATCATAATTTGGGAGAAAGATAAGAATTAAAATGAAACACCAATATCACTAACCATAAAGGAAAGCATTGATGAATTAGTTTACATCAAAATTAAAACTTTTGTTTATGAAAGTTTTATATTCAATGAAGGACCATTATATAAAGACAAACTTTTACATGTCAAATAGTAATAAAAAATTTAAATAGGTACTCCCCAAAACAGGATATCCAAATGGCTAATAAGCTTATGAAAAGATATTCAACATCATCCAGCATGAGAAAAATAATTCACACAACAATCAGATAAAATAAACATCCACCAGTATATATAGATAGTCCCTGACTTATGATGGTTTGACTCATGATTTCTCAACTTTACAATGGTGTGAAAGCAATGTACATTCAGTAAAAACCATACTTTGAATTTTGATCTTTTCTTGGGCTAGTGATAGGTAGTATGATACTCTTGTAATGCTAGGCAGCATCAGAGAGCCAGCCATAGCTCCCAGCCAGTCACATGATGACGAGGGTAAAACAACCAATACTCTAATGTGTACCATGTCACCAGATAATTTGGCTCAACCGTAGGCTAATGTGAATGTTCTGAGCATGTTTAAGGTAGGCTAAGCTATCATGTTCAGGAGGTTAGATATCTTAAATGTATTTTTGACTTGTAATATTTTTAACTTAAAATGTCTTTGTTGCGATATAACCCTATCATAAATTGAGAAAGATCTGTATAAAATTAAAAAGTCTAGCTATATGTTTGTTTAGAATACTCATAGACAGTATTCACTAAAGTTGGATGGAGGCAATATAAACTCATATATGTATAGTTAACAAAAATTCATACAAGGTTGACCTAAAATATATATACATGAATGCTTATGGTAGCACCATTTCTAATAGCAATAATTGAAAAGAAAGTGCCCATGAGGAGTTGAAGGAATAAGTAAACCTTGGATATACACACATTCATTCAGGGAACATGGATATTGTTGTGGCTAATTCTTTACCATGAGTGACCCACACAGATCCTATCATAAAATTTAACTTTATACCAGGGGTCCTCAAAGTTTTTAAACAGGAGGACAGTTCACTGTCCCTCAGACCATTGGAGAGTGCACACTGTGGGCCTGGGATGAGTAGGCAGCTAAGCAGGACAGGCAACAGTGGCAAAAACACCCAGCAGGCCAGATAAGTGTCCTGGGGGGGGGGGCGGCATGTGGCCTGCGGGCCGTAGTTTGAGGACCCCTGCTTTATACTGAAGCTTTGCTTTGATTGAAAATTGAGAAATCTTGTGATTCATTGATAACATCTCTATGATGAATTACATATTCCTAGCACCATTCAAATAGGAATTCTATTTGTGGACTTCAGATAATGAATCCCCTATAGGAAACTTATTTCATCCATCTCTGTTTCCTTCCAATTGAACAACTCCTTCTTTTATGTTAACCTTATTTTAGTGGTTCATTCTCATAATTTGGGGGAATTATACCTCTCTTTTTTTCCTTGTGATTTTAATGTGTTGCGGTAAGTCTAGCTGGCAGGATATGCACCATTACATAGATTAAGTTTGCTTTTTGTAGCTGAGAAATTCTAAATAGATCTTCATTCTAGTGAAGACTTTCTTCTAAGGAATTTAGATTCATTCTTCCAGACGGCAGATATATCATATGGGTTCTTCATGAGTGCCATATATGATGGGATGCTCATAAGACTTTCACTTTTTACCTGGGCTTGTTTAGACTGAGAGTGGAGAAAATTTTGTGGTTCATTGGTATGATTTCTATGTTGAAATATTTGGATCTAAACGTGCAAGTAGATGAATTCATCTATGTTACATCATTTCAGGTTTGCGATGTGTTAAGATATTTATAGATCACTGATGGACTATGAATAGTCAAGTATCCTGGCAATCACACCCAGAGGTTGAGATCAAGATATTTATTTGCCCATAGATATAAAAATTCAATAAAATTAGGAGCTTCCTGGTATCTTATTTACTTTTTACAAGTATCATAAGTACAAGGAAATAACAATTCTCACCTTTGATTACTGCCCTACTCCTTGAATAAAGTCTTGGATAAAGACTTATGAAGAAGAGGATTATCTGTCCTCTTATCCAAACTAACCACACTGAATCTGCCCAAACTTGAAAATATGTTGGCATAGGGTTTAATGATGCAAATCCTGGTTAGAATTTTCAGGACTAAATACATGTGTATATAAGAGGAATGCCACAGCTTGTGTCATGAGGAAATTTGATTATGTAAAAATTATCCTCATAAGTATTATGCTGAGACCCATTTTGGGAGGGCATTTGGGATGCCATAGGCTACGCAAAACATAGCTATGAAAACAGAAGTCATTAGAGAAAATAACAAGTAGTCATGGAGAATTTAGATTAGAGACTGTAATAGAATGAAAGCATCAGGTTGGCAAGTGGTTGTCCTAGTAACTTGGAAGAAAGGGAATAAAAATGGAGTCAGACTACTGAATGGCAAATTTAAGACTAAACTATGGTGCCATACAAATCAACTTTTCATCTCAATATGAAGAATATCAGCCCTTGCCTTTTGGAATCTCAACAGCTCCAATTGTTGTTAGAAATTATCCAGGACTGCTGGCAGGACCCCAAATAGTAAGAATTCATATGCCCTTTTCTCCACCTGACATTAACTATCTTAAGAATTATTTTCTAGTGCTCTGAGGAGAGCCACAAAAATTTCCCAATGTATTCTGTAGTGTGTTTTCAATCTATAGCTCTGCACATTGGGGAGGTACACTCTGGATGTTCATGGACTGTTGCCTCCAGTTGACTTGTCTGACTAATAGAGCAGGCACAACAGGGACCAAATGAGAACCCCCACATAAGGAAGAAAAGGACCCAGGAGTCCAGTTATTTCACAATTATCCATTTTTTCCAACAACTTAGATTACTCTTTGTGCTTTGGCCACCCAACCTGATGATAGCAGTCCTTGAAACCTTTCTATAGAAAGTGGACTGGAAGAAGCTAAATTCTACACTCAGAAGGTGGTTGAGTTCCCCCATTGACTTTCACCATAGTTCACTAAATTATTTTCTACATTTATATATATAAATTTATGGATGGACCAGAATAGGCCTTTAATCCTCTCCATTGTTATGGCACTTTTGTTGCCAGGAATTCAAACACAAGTAAGGGAAAAAGTAGTAGGTGGCAGGGACCCACCCAGCTTTGATAAATGAAGAGAAAGATAAGACAAAAATAAACTTAAGACTACAGCATTAGCTGCCCAGTTATAATTACTCACAAAGGAACAAACCCTTATCTAGGCCCACCAATGAATAAGCAGGCACAAGCTAATGGAAAGTCCATATATCACTGTTGTAAAAAATCAAGACATTAGAAAAAGGGATCATGGAAGAGATTAAGGAAGATGCAAGGGATGCCTAACTCTGAAGCTTTACTATCTCCTCAAGGAGATCTTCATCTCATGAAATGAAACAAAATAATTTGCGAATGGTGCAAAGTAATGGACAAAATTAACATAATGAGGAAACCTCAGAGATGGGAATGGTATAAATTTTTGTACCTGTTTCTTTCTCCTACCTTAATCTTTTCTTACCCATTCTTGTAGATACTGGAGCCATGAATTCTGCAATTCCTATTGACCTTTTTTGTTTTACCCTAACCCAGGAAAACATTCAAGATCTGACTATTTATGGAATATCTTCTACCTGTTATTTCTCCTCTGAGGTTCCCACACAAATACTCCTCTCTTAGAAGACTATGCCTTGTCTCCTAACATGTTTGGTAATCTGTTAGGAAGGAACCTGCTGTATAGACTAAGGGCTATGACATTTTTGACTCTAGATTGAGTCAAAGCTTCATCTGTGTAGCTCCTAGGATTCAAGGTAGCTGTGTTGCTAAATATGTACTTTCTGAAACAAAGTAGGGCTGTGGGAGACTGGCAGTCTTGTCACATGCTGGAAAAGGCCTCCCAAATTACAGGAAAAAAAACATATTTATGGGTCCTAGGAACAAATGATAGTGACTTATAAAAGGGATCAACACCATTGTTATAACTTACAATGAATAAAAACCTTGATCATGTGTAGAATATCTTCTCTATTTTGAACTCAAATACAATGTATAGAACCAGTAATTAGAGAAATAGAAAAACAGGATTTAATGAAAAAGGCACATAGACCTCATAATACTATATTACTTGTGAGAAAGGAAGGGGAATTTTACAAGAAAGGTCAAACTGTTTATAGACCTGTACATTGATCTGAGAGAAACAAGTTGTGATTCTTCTGACACCTTGGTACCCAATGTTGCCACTACTATCTTAACATCTGTGCCTGAGTCAGCTACATATTTTTCTGTAACAGGATTATGTTCAACTTTCTGTTCTGTACCTTTGATTGAAGAGTCAAGTTTCCTGACTGTGTTTACCTTCAAAGGTAGAGGTTTTCAATATTTGTGGAAATGGATCCCCCAGAGATTTAGAGATTCACTTTACTATATTCTCTAGGCATTTACAAGAAAAGGAATCATCCTCATCTTAGGGTTCCATGCTAATTATTATTGATAGCCACTAATACCTTATGTGCTGGTAAAGACAACACTTTAACTTTACTAAATTTCCTAGTCTACCAGGACATAAAGCCTCCCTACATAAGTTGCAATATTATCAAACTGAAGTCAAATATTTGGGATATGTATTCTTGGAAGATGGAAGATAGTTGCATCCTGAAGATAGTCTAATGTACAAACAAAACAACGTACTACAAAAAAAAAATTCCACCAATTGTGAGGATTGATTGTGGATATCTGCCTTTTCTGAAAAGACTAAGCCTCACACTAATATGTTACATGAAACACCACCAGAACTTTTTATTATAGTCAAAGTAAGATGAAGAAGTCTTTCACACCCTTAAAACAGCTGTCATTTCCCCACCTGTATTAGGAGATTTTAACTTTGATCAACTGTTCCACCTTTTCTGTTATGAGATTAGGATACTTATAATCATGTGTGACTTCAAAATTAGGCCTTGAGTATGGGCATATTGCTTACTTTTCTGGGCTAGTAGATTTTCTTGCTCTGGGAATGTCATGATACAGGTATAGCAGCAGCCACTCACCTGACTGAAAAGGATCAGTCAGGCTTTGACTTTGGGAAATTTAACTTACTGACAGTCATTTCATGCTGTAACTACTATTTTACAAGTTCATAAGATATCACAGTTGTCAGTGTGATGCCAAACTAGATATGAACAAGTCTTATTGTCTATTCCTAAGGCTATGCTAGGCAAGTATAACCTTCTGACAGCTATTCTGTGGCTAGACCTTGACAAACTAAGTTAACTCACAGTCATTGAGGAAGATCCTGGAGCTTGGTCTGGTTTATCTAATATTCCTATTCCCAGTGCTGACTGAATATTCTCTGATATCTCCTGTGTAAAAGATCAGCAAGGGACTATATAAGCATGCTTTGCAGTAGTCAACCTTCATGAAGTTTTACAGGCTTCTCTTCTCCCAAATATAAAATCAATCCAAGTGGCAAAACTTGTAACTGCTATACAAGTTGTTAAATTAGCCATTAGTCTTAAAGCAGATATCTATACAGTGCTGTTAGTAAGTATGTGTTTGTGGTCTGTCATGTGACTGGACAACTCTGAAAGCGTAGATGCTAACACAAATAGGAATTAAAATATCACATGGGAAACTAAGTAATGATTTATTAGAGTCATTCAAACTTCTGTAACAGATTTATGCAATTTATTCTTTAGCTAACACTAGAAAACAAGATGAAATATCTAAAAAATCAATTTGCAAACCTAGCTATAAAGCAGCTATTGAGATTTGAACTGGACGAATCAAACCCCTATCACTTCTATCCACGAATTCCCATTTATAATTTCAGAAATAGCCAACTTTCTAACAATTAGAAAATTAAGAATCAAAGAGAGCTAAGAACACCATAGGAAAGTGAGAATTACATAATGAAAATTTTGTTATTCTAATTGTTATATGATTGAATAGCTTTTTCATGATAACAACAAACTCATTCAAACAAAAGGAATATACTGAAAACTTGGAATCTTATAATACTTGTAATAGAATCAAATAATTCAGGACATAATATGAAGATACGCTGTTTGTCAGAAAAATTTATTTTGTCAGAAAAATTATTTACAGTGGATGACTAAGATAAGTCAATAAAACCTACTAAGACCAATGTTATGTCAGATATGATGGCACACAAACTTAATGGAACTTCCACCTTTAGAAGATATTAAATATTTTTGGCTATGTTGAGTATTGGTGTCTGGATGGGTGAAGGCAGATGCTCAAACAGTGATCAAGCACTTACTGTATCATATCTAACCTTTGGAATTCCTGTATATCCAGAATCCAATAGGGAAGGTTGTTTTGTATCTGTGGTAATTCAAGAGCCTTGTAATATTCTACAAATATAAACAATGTGCCTATTCCTTATTATCCCCAGCCTTCTGGCCAAGTAGAATGAATGAACCATACTCTAAAGAATTTAGGCCACTGTACAGGGGCCCAAAGCCTTACCATGGGTTTATTTAAAAAGAACGTTAAATTGCTGAAGGAAGCATAGCATCTCTTCCTTTGAGTTTGGAAGATCAGTGAATATTGGGTTTGAGCCTATCCTATTCTCTGATACAATGGAAAACCCTTATGCTCAGATATAATACTTAAAGAGGCTCACTTTGCCATCATGTGGCCAGAAGCTGGAAAATCCTCCTGGGAATGTGTGTCAATGATATTGAACAGGAGACCCAGTCTACATCAAACTGTTCCAATGACAGACTGATTGTCACTACACTGAACAGAATCCTACTAGGTGTTGTTCATTACTCACATTGATATCAAGATGATGGAGAAAACCAAATGCATGCATGTTTCATATGTGAGACCTACACTTATAATTGAGTGGGCTATAACTCCCATTTAAGACCATAAGGTTAAATTCTCCAGATAGTCAATTATAATATATACAAGCTGAAGGGAAAAGTTTCTCTTATGGACAGACAACAGAAAAGATATACTATTTTGGTATGTTCTTCATATTATATTGGCCATTATAATTTTGATACTTTATTTCATAACATAACAGTTAAAGCTTATAAAATATTAGTACATCTTTTAAAAATTAGTATCTCAATCTCAAGGAATTTTCATTGATTACAAATTGTGCTCAATAAAGGGTGAGAGCTCTAGACACTGCTTTCTTTGTCATAATACTTAATTTTCTTTTATTTTTCTTTTAATTATTATCAGCCCAGGTTCTGATCAGATCTCATAATACTTCAGACTCATCAGTTGGATGGTTTAAATTTAAAAGAAGTAGAATAATTCAAGTCTTCTCACAGACACATCAATATTACCCAAATAAAATAAAACAATCTTAATTATCACCATAATTTGTGTGACTGAATATGCAGATAAGAAGAAATTTTTAGCTAATTAAGCCTCGATATAATTATGGTCAAATTAAAAGTCCCTGAACAGTATCACAAAACTCCAAAGGCTCTATGTCTTAAATAGCCATTGGGGTGCAGATTCACAAAACTGAATTGATATACAGTTGAGGAGAAAATATCACAGCTAAAATGATGAGGGTTTATTTCTTCAACAGCCTGAAAACACATCATCCCATAAAATAGACCTACCCTATTTAAACCTGGCAGTCTCCAGACCTCAGATTTAAGACATCTAGGATAAATAAATAGTTGGCCTTTTTAAATATTACCACAGATATTATGAGTAAATTCAATTCTACTTGTATACAATAGACATTAACATTATGAAAATATTTTACACAGGGAATAAAATGGTGCTATGATCAAGCTAAAAAGGATTATCAAATGCAATATTAGGGGGAAAATAGAAATAGGGACAATAATTGCAAACTCTTATGATTGCAAACTCTTATGATTGCAAACTATTAGAAGTACTGGTAATCTTAGAAATACTGGTAAACTACCTTGGATGGTTGCAGAAACATATAAATCAGATGCAAACAGGATAGAATCAAAAGCTGATGCAAAATAAAACAATTGACAAAAAATAAGATGAAATTGTGAAAGAATTTATGAATGGACATCTGGTAATGATGCAAAAATATAGCTAAAGAATTTTCACAACCACAACTGTGGTAGTTCAAACACTACAGTGTATATTTGGTAGAACTGATGTATAGGATTTTACGTAATTAGGGGAAGAATCGAGTATTAGGCATATGAAAAACATTCAGAGAAGCAAAGATGGGGTATAAAGGTGGTTATATTATGAATAAAAAAGGATGAACTTTGCCATTACAGATTGAGAATTCAAAAACTACCTGAGCACTTCACTAAAATGAAACCTAGAGATAAGCAAGTAAATTGATTTTAGTTACTGAAAGGACAAGAATTATGTTCTAACCAGAGTTCACTTAAAGGTACGGAGAAACAAGGGCTCCAAGAAAGAGGTAGTCATTAGGACTATGACAGGTGGACCCTTCTGCAGCCTCAGGGCATGTTTGCGGCCCAGTGGCTGCGTGCTGAGCTCGTATGGCCCCCGTCGTGTCTTTCAGGGAGCCGTGCTGCCCAGGTTGGCCCCAAGGCAGTCTCAGGATCCCAGGTGAGTGGACCTACTGGGGCTGGAGCCAGGACCTGAGAAGCAATGGGTTGTCCAAGGCTCCGCCTTAGTCCAAGGGCGCTTCCCTCTGGCAGGCGCATGGCGAAGTGGACCCTTCGCTCCTCCCTACTTGAGGGGGACGATCCTTGAGGACGTCGTCCTCAGAGGGTACCCCTTTTGTTTCCGAGCCCAGAGTTCGCTTGCAGTTAGGGAGGGACAGGGGCTCCCAGAAAGGAGTGGCCGCGAGGACGGCTGCCACGACAGGCCCGCGTGGTCCCGGGCTCCCTATCGGGGCTGTGGCAGGGAGCTGAGCCTCCAGCCCAAGCAAAGAGGAGGTGGACAGGCCCGGCCTCGGGTGCACAGCCCTTGACTTCTCATGGCCATGAGAAGCTCATGGTGGGCGCATGGAGGCCTGGGCTTCTGAGGTCCCTGTAAAGGATTGGGGGGTGGGCCTGGCGGGCATGGGGCTGCACGCGGCTTCCTGACCCGGGCCCTGGGTCACGAGTGAGTGGGGTTCAGGTCCAGTTGACCGGGTACGGTGGCCGTACCCGGGTCCTTGGGTGCATCCTGGCAGGAAGGAGAAGTGGGAGGCCCTTGACCTGCTGTAGGGCGGGAAGCGCGTCGCCTGGCCCAAGCCCAGCGGGCGGTGCGCCTCGCGTGTTCTGGACCCCAATGCGATGGGAGGGGCAAGCGACCCCCAGACTCCGCAAGCATTCCCCGGTCGGGATGCCCCCTCAGGTCCCTGTGGGCAATGCATGGGTAAGCCGGCCACCGATTCCCGAGAGGAATGCGACTCCTCGGGGACCGACTGTCGTCCACATTCCAAGGCAGCTAGCGTCCCGGAGAGAGTTCCCTCAGAACGAGCGCGATCGGCGCAGTGGTGGTCCAAGCGGAGCGCAGCTTGCCCTGTGCCGCAACTCGTGTGCTCCGTGGCCCCCTGTTCTCCGAGATGGCCCTGTGGTGAGCTGCTCCGGGTCCTAGGGCGTGTGTGCATGGGGAGGGGCCGCCCTGGGCAAGGTCGATGATGAGAACCTCATATGGTCTGAAGAGAGGTGATGACTTAAAAATCATGCTCAATAGGATTACGCTGAGGCCCAGCCTAGGGGAGCGTTTTGGAAGGGGACGTTGGCCTGCAGCTCTCCCGTGCGGGGCCATCGGTCTCTTCAGCCGGAGACTGGAGGCCCTGCAGGCCATCCCGGGGGACCCGAGCCGTTGCATGCCCTGCGCAGTGAGCACCCCAAGCTCCTTGTGTGCGCTGGGCGTCAGGGGGACCATTGTCCAGCGGCAGGGCATGTTTGCAGCACCCTGGCCGCGTGCTGAGCTCGTGCTGCCCCCGTCGTGTCTTTCAGGGAGCCGTGCTGCCCAGGCTGGCCCCAAGGCAGTCAGGATCCCAGGTGAGTGCACGGCTGGGGTCTTGAGCCATGAGCGCCTCTATTTCTTTGTATGGCCTGGGTTTCATGGGGAGCATTCCCCATTTGTAGGGCATGTTGGAAGTTACATTGATCCTAGGTGAGCTTGTGCTGCCCCCATCATGTATTTTCCATACCTCTTCTGCACTGTTGGCCCCAAGGCAGTCCGTATTACAGGCGAGTGTATTGCTTGGGACTTGAGCCATGACCCGTGGAGCCATGGGTGAACCAATTTTTCTCTTTAGATCTCTAAGCACTTTCCACTTGGAAATCCATGGCGAAGTTGTCCCTGCACTCCACTCTCCTTCCTGGGAATGCTCTTTGGGAATCTGATTCATGGAGGGTTCATGCCCTTCTAAGCCACCCTAGTCCAGGTTGTCTCAGGGGAAAATGTTTCCTCGAGGAAGATCAAGGCAATGTGCGTCTGAGTCTATTTGTCGAGTCTAGGATCCTGTCTAGTGATCCTGAAGCGCTCATATGCCTAGAGGCAAGGAGGAGGCCACTTGGGGACTCTTGAGAAGGCTTGAATCTTCAGGAGCCAGCTGCGGAGAGGTGGCACTATCTCCCACCCATGGGCCTGATGCTCCCAAAGCCCTGAGAGCAATGGTCTTCTATGCTTGTGGCAACCCTTGCGTCCTATGAGGGAGCTGTGCTGTCTCAGTCATCTGAACTTAATGTCCTGGGTGTCCCCACATGGTGCCCAAATAGTCCCAGTCAGCATCTGGCATCCAAGGTCCTGTGCTGCTGCACTTTCCTGGGTGCTTCCCTCTCCTCTCTTTGGTTCCCAGGGGGCATTGCTCAGTCTCAAATGGAGTTTCTCTGAGATAATGTTGAGGTTGTTTCTTAGCCAAGAGGTTACCATCATTATGGAGGGACTTGGGTCCACCGAAAGTAGTACCCATGTGGCTCATTAGCTCGTTTGGCCCAGGTTAATGAGCCAGTTAGCTAGGGCCATTGTAACATGTTTTTGTGGTGGTATCATCCATATGTCTCCACCAAGAAACAGTATATTTGAGCCATCCCCACAAAAGTTTTATTTCTAATATTGAATTATGGTCCTATTCCTATCCTCCTAGATAAGGACTACTGAGAAAGAGTTTCCTTTGGTATTTTTCCACCAAGGCAAATGTTACCACCCAGCCATGTTTTAGTAAATCCAATTGGTCTTCTGTTCCTTTGAACAATGAGTTATGGATGCTATTCTGGTAAGTGTTTACAAGACAAAATGGATACATGTGTGGAGAATATCTTGAGTAGATGTGATGATATAAAAATCATGCTCAGTAGGATTATGCTGAGGCCCAAAGGAAGTGACAATTTGTGTAACAAGTTGTGAGAATTAATTATATTTTTGGGGACTACTCTATCTGGGGCTTTGTAGAATTCAACTATTTGGGTAATCTCACTTCCCTTAACTCTATCTATCAGCTTTTAAGAGAACAATGTGGGGTTTTTTTGTATATTATTATTATTATTTTGTCATATTATGGGGGTACAAATTTTAAGGTTTCAAAAAATGTCCTTTCCCCCCTTCCCCCACAAGTCTGAGTTTCAAGTGTGACCATCCCCAAGATGGTGCACATCTCACTCATTATGTATGTATACACCTGCCCCCCTCCCACCTGCCCAATGCCATATTACTGTAATTCCTATGTGTCCACTTAGGTGCTGCTCAGTTAATAACAGTTTGCTGGTGGGTATATGTGGTGCTTGTTTTTCCATTCTTGGGATACTTCACTTAGTAGTATGGGTTCCAGCTCTAACCAGGAAAATATAAGATGTGCTATATCACCATTGTTTCTTAGAGCTGAATAGTACTCCATGGTATACATATGCCACAATTTATTAATCCATTCTTGGATTGATGGGCACTTGGGCTGTTTCCACAGCCTTAAAATTATGAATTGTGCTGCTATAAACATTCGAGTGCAGGTGTCTTTTTTGTAGAGTGTCATTGGATCTTTTGGGTAGATGCCCAATAATGAGATTACTGGATCAAATGGTAGATCCACTTGTATCACTTTAAGATAGCTCCATATTGCTTTCCACAGAGGTTGAACTAGTTTGAAGTCCCACCAGCAATGTAGGAGTGTTCCACTCACTTTACATCCATGCCAGCATTTATTGTTTGGGGACTTTTTGATAAAGGCCATTCTCACTGGAGTTAAGTTAGTTTGATCATGTCCCATTTATTTATTTTTGTTGCTGCTGTGATTGCCTTTGGGGTCTTCTTCATAAATTCTTTGCCTAGGCCAATGTCTAGGAGAGTGTTTCCAACATTTTCCTCTAGAGTTCTAATAGTTTCTCACCTTAAGTTTAAGTCTGTTATCCAGCGTGAGTTAATTTTTGTGAGAGGTGAAAGGTGTGGGTCCTGCTTCATCGTTCTACAAATGGCTATCCAGTTTTCCTAGCACCATTTATTGAAAAGGGATTCTTTTCCCCAGCGTATGTTTTTGTCTGCTTTGCCAAAGATTAGATGACTATATGAGGATGGTTTTATATTAGGATTCTCATATCTGTTCCACTGGTCAATATTCCTATTTTTGTGCCAATACCCAGATTGTTTTAATTACTACAACTTTGTAGTATAGTTTGATATCTGGTATATTAATACCTCCCATTTTGTTTTGTTGCCTAGATTTGCTTTTGAGATTCAGGGTCTTCTTAGGTTCCATATGAAGCATAAAATTATTTTTTCTATATCCGTGAAGAATGATGATGGGATTTTAATAGGTATTACATTGAATCTGTATGTAATTTTGAGTAGTATAGACATTTTAATGATGCTGAGTCTGCCAACCCACGAGCATGGTATGGATTTCCATCTGTTTACATCCTCTGCTATTTCCTTCCTCAGTGTTTCATAGTTCTCCCTGTAGAGGTCTTTTATGTCCTTGGTTAAGTATATTCCTAGGTACTTTAATTTCTTTGTTGCTATTATGAAGGAATTAAGCCTTTGATTTGGTTCTCCATTTGATTGTTGTTGGCGTATATGAATGCCTCTGATTTCTGTGTATTGATTTTTTATCCTGAGACTTTATTAAATTCATTTATCAGTACCAGGACTTTCTTGGTTGAATCTTTGGGGTTTTCTAAATATAATATCATATCATCAGCAAACAGTAAAAGTTTGATCTCTTCTGCCCCTATCTGGATACATTTAATTCCATATTCCTGTCTCATTACTGTAGCCAGGACTTCCAGCACTATGTTGAATAGAAGTGGAGATAGTGGGCAGCCTAGTCTGGTTCCAGTTCTAAGTGGGAATTCTTTCTTTTTTTCCCCATTCAGTATGATGTTGGCTATGGGTCTGTCATATATGGCTTGTATCATTTTTAGGTATGTCCTTTCTATGCCTATTTTATTAAGTGTTCATATCATGAAAGGGTGTTGAATTTTATCAAAAGCGTTTTTCTATGTCTATTGAAAGAATCATGCGGTCTTTGTTTTTGCTTCTGTTTATGTGGTGAATTGCATTTATAGATTTACGTATGTTGAACCATCCATGCATTCCTGGGATGATGCCCACTTGGTCGTGATGGATTATTTTTTTGATAAGCGTCTGGATTCAGTTAGCTAGGATTTTGTTGAAAATTTTTGCATTTATATTCATTAGGGATATTGGTCTGAAGTTATTTTTTTGTTGTGTCCTTTCCTGGTTTTGGTATCAGAGTAATATTCGCTTCATAAAAGGTGTCGGGGAAGTTTCCGTTCTTCTCGATGTGGAATAATTTCTGCAAGATAGATATCAGTTCTTCTTTATAAGTGTGGTAAAATTTGGGTGTGGAACCATCTGGACCGGGACTTTTCTTTTTAGGGAGATTTTAAATTGCTGTTTTTATTTCAGCTCTTGAGATTGGTCTGTTCCGGAATTCTATTTCTTCTTTGTTGATCCTAGGGAGGCTGTGCGTTTGTAGAAATTTGTCCATTTTCTCCACATTTTCCAGTTTGTGTGCATACAGATTTTTGTAGTATTCATAAATTATATCTTGTATCTTGGGATCAGTTGTGATATCTCCTTTTTTGTTCCTGATGGAGCTTATTAGAGATTTCTCTTTTTGCTTTTCATTAGCCTAGCCAATGGCGTGTCAGTTTTGTTTATTTTTTCAAAGAACAAATTTTTCGTTTTATTAATCTCCTGAATAGCTTCCCTGTATTCAATTTTGTTTAGTTCTGATTTGATCTTGTTGATTTCACTTCTTCTGCTGGTTTTAGGGTTGGTCTGTTCTTTTTCCAGCTCTTTGAGTTCTTTTATTAGATTGTCTATTTGTTACCTTTTTGACTTTTGGTTATAGGCATTTATGGAAATATAGTTTTCTCTCAGAACTGCTTTAGCTGTGTCACAGAAGATTTGATAACTTGTCTCTCCATTGTCATTTTTTTCACAGAATTTTTTAATTTACATCTTGATTTCGTTATGAAGTAATCATTTAGTAGGAGGTTGTTTAATTTCTACATTTTTGTGTAGAAATGTGAATTTCTGTTAGGATTGATTTCTACTTTTATTCCACTGTGATCTGAGAAGATACATGGTATGATTTCTATTTTTTAAAATTTCTTGGGGCTTACTTTGTGTCCTAGGATATGGTCAGTCTTAGATAATGTCTCGTGAGCTGATGAGAAGAACATATATTCAGTGGATTTTGGGTAGAATGTCCTGTAAATGTCAGTCAGTCCCAGTTGTTCCAGAGTTTTGTTTAAGTCCATTATTTCTTTATTAATTTTCTGTTTGGAGGATCTGTCCTGTGCCATCAGTGGGGTGTTGACATCTCCAGTAATTATGGAGTTTCTGTTAATCAATTTGCTTAGAACCAGTAAAGTTTGCTTTATGAATCTGAGTGCATGTAAGTTGGGTGCATATATATTTAAAATTGTTATCTCTTCTTGTTGAACTCTGCCCTTCACCATTATATAATGACCATCTTTGTCTTTTACTACTTTTGTTGGTTTAAAAACTAAATCATCTGAGATTAGATCTGCCACAC